TTGTATATGTATATAAGAGTGTGTATGTGTATATGAGTATACCTATATGTATATGTGTATATATAGATGGAGAGATAGTTAGATAGATAGATAGATAAATAGATTGATAAATATATATATATATATATATATATATATGTGTGTGTGTGTGTGTGTGTGTGTGTATACATGTATGGAATAGTTTTAAATGGAAGTATTTGGGTCATTCTAATGGTATTTTAAAATTACTCTTTTTTAATTTTTAATATCACTTTCTCTTTTAATGTTCTATAATTAGAATTTTGAGAGTGTATTTTTATCTTCTGAAGGGAGTTTCATTTTAAAATTGATAATTTAAATTTAAATATACCACTCTTTAACTATTTATAGTAATAATAATATTAACGAAATTCCTTTAATAATGAGGCACTTCAGAAGTCACCTAATGTTAAACTTTAACTATAGAATATAACTAAAATCTAAATAAATTTCAAATATTAAAATATAGGTAATGATTGAGAAATGTATATATAATTTATATATGAAGATGGATGAACATTTGTGTATATTGTTACACGTGTGTCTATGTGTGTGTTTGCGCATGATAATAAACGTACGTATATATGGATTTGCATGAATATGTTTGTGAGATACATATAAGAAGAAAACAAAATCTTTAATATTACCCTCAAATATTATTAAATAATGAAACCTAAGCCTTAATTAAGTTTAGCCATATAATAATAAGGAAAAATTGCATTCATAAATTAGATTAAAAGTAAAAAATAATATAGATGTTATTTTTACCGTAATTTTCTTACTATATTATGGAAATACAATTGGTCGGGTAAATAAACTATTATGATTTTAAATATTTCTTTAATATGTTCTCAATAAATATGCTAATAAAAATAGTAGTTAACTTATATTAAGTCCCTAAACTATTTACTTAAAAAATTAAATATTTAAATTGATAACATTCATCATTTTTTAGACATCTAAATTTCTATCAAGCATTGAAATCTATCTTTTACATAATTTTGTTAAAACAAAACTACAGCCTCTTTCGATTCACTTCCCTCTCCCCCTCTCTCTTTGCCGTAACACTCATTTGGATATATCGGTATTACTGTCGTCTGTCTCCTCTCTTTTTCCTTTTCTTTTCTCCCCTCCCATTCCTACATATCATTTCCATTAAGTTAACCATCTAAATAGGTCAAGGTTCGGTCACTCCTCCAACCCCAATATAAAGCATGCTTAAGAGAGATATGAAATTAACCCCTCCCTATACTCTACCTTGTCTCTTTACCTACCACTCTCACCCCCCTGTTAAATTACAAAAATTACACTACCCATCAATTTCTAATCCCATTTTCCTTTCATTTCATTGTTGGAAGTGTTACCTGATGATCCGGAGTCCTTTAAAAAGGATTTTGGTGAAATAAATTATTGCAATGGTACCTTAAAGTGGTCTGTTTTTCATTAATTAATTATATATATATATGTGTATATATATATATGTATATATATATATATGTATATATATATATATATATATATATATGTATATATATATGTATATATATATATATATATATGTATATATATATATGTGTATATATATGTATATATATGTGTATATATATGTATATATATATGTATATATATATATATATATATATATATATATATATATATATGTATATATATATATGTGTATATATATATATATATATATATATATATATATATATATCGTCATCCACACACATATATATATATGCAAGATAGTCAAAATTAGAAGAAACGTTGATATAAGAAGAAGCGAGTAGAAGGAGAGAAACGTTCGTCATCATAAACTGAATCGATGAAATTTAGCTCCAAACTGATTTAATGAAATTTGGTTCAAGAATGTCACATAAGAAATGAGGTTGGGGAATAACATGGAAATATTTTGAAAATATTTCCAATAATGTTGATAAATGGCAAAAATATCTAAACACATTTTTAAGAAGTAACCATCAACTGTCTGAAGACAGAATTTCTGGTCGTTAACAAAAGAAATAGTGTAAGATATGAGCTATGGACAGGACACGTAAAATTCAAGCAATTATAAGGATTTCACTTCTACTGTTATAACAGGCGACGGAAAACGTGACATCGCAATCCGAAGCCATATTGGAACAATGGAAGATGCCTTCCAAAAGCTAAATAAATATCATATTATGATTGTTCTTTATTGTCCCCTCTCTTTAATAGTATTTTTCTCATATTCTCTAGCACTCAGTAACCCCTTTGCATCCTAGTGGATTTATTGCATTTGGTCTTCCAAAATTTAAGTGTAATGTCAATCGTTGTCTTCTGTCTTTGTAATTCTTGTTTTTTTATTGTCCATTCTCCTTAATAGTAGTTTTTCTCATATTCTCTAACACTGAGTAACCCCTTGCATCCTATTGGCTTTATTGCCTTTGATCTTCAAAGATTATCTGCAATGTCAATCGTTATCTTCTGTCTTCTTAAATCTGATTCTTTTATTGTCCTCTCTCCTTAATAGTAGTTTTTCTCATATTCTCTAACACTCAGTAACCCCCTTGCGTCCTAGTGGCTTTAGTGCCTTGTTTTGGGTGAAATGATTAAAAAAAAATGGATGGTAGAACATGATTATAATAAGAAAAAACGGTGTGTAGCCCTACAAAAAATATGTCGTACTCGGCCTAGAAAAATACCTTCTCTTATTATTTTGTTTAACTTTTCGAAGACAACTTTCGCTATTCCAGAGTGTGCCTTCGGATATCACTGCCTCATTTTCCGTCGTCTGTTTTAGCACTTCCATGAAAGTTAAATGCCTGCTATTTTCACACTTCCAGATCTATCTTTGGTTGTCCCTCGTGTTAACGAACATATATTCTGTTTTCTTACAATTGATAAACATTTCTTCCTTCTCACTTTCATTCACTACCATGTCTAGAGGTTCCTGCAATTCCAGTCTGTGTCTTCCATCAACAAAATACAATTTGCCAATCTTATGTTATACACACCAATGCTATTTTCAAATACAACCGAAATTGGTATTTCATTGTCCCATTCGCCATTGTCGTCAGATGTTCCTGTCGTACTAAAAATGAAATCATTAGAGTAAATGACATTTTGAGGTTTAATTTATTCTACTTTGATATCATAGAACACATAAAGAATTTGTTATTTATATAGGCATTCGGGTAACTCGAAAACTTAAAAATACTATATGAAGCCCGTAGGTTTTTAATGAGGAGCATCCTTCGACCCCCGTGAAGTGGCGCTACAAAGTAACAAGCAAAGAACTGTACGAGATAAGAGAAATTGCATCACTTGATGACTTTCAACGGCAATAACAACTAGATCGGATAGCACATGTAACTGAAATAATCACCTAATCAATTTGCTGACGTTCCACCCTACTTCAAACAAAAGGTGAGGAATAGCGTTATTGGTAATTTTTAATTTTATAATATAATTTAATATTAATTAGTTAGAATAAATTCTTTTTGTCTAAGCCTAAGATAAAAAGCATTAAATAATTATTATAACCTAAGTCTGTTGTCAAGTTTTTTGAATTCTCATATTCTTGTATTTTGATTTGTCATTCCAGTTTATGTAACAGGCTATTTTTGGTAGTGATTCTATAACATATTTATGTTTACAATTTTTTAATAAATAATTATATTTGCTCTACTTTGTATTGAACACTCGTTTAAGAATAGTAATTGTTGGTTATTGGAATTTATTCCGTATTTACCAATCCTTTAGATTATCTATCTATCTATCTATCTATCTATCTATCTATCTATCTATCTATATATATCTATATATATATATAAGTCAACATTGAAGTCAATACTCAGAGGTGACAGGCTGTTTTATGCTAGACGCAATCACCAGGCCACTGACAATTGCCTCTAGCATGAAACAGCCTATCGCCTCTGACTGTTGACGACTTCAATGTTCACTTTTATACTTATATTTACATATGCTCTATCTCTGATATTCAGCACTTTATCCCATTAATATAGTGCACCATAAAACTTTAATTCCCCATATATATATATATATATATATATATATATATAGCGTCATCCACAGACAGACTGTTTCGCTGTTTCACAGCTCATCAGTGTGGCTAGACATCCGGTTGCCTCCTGCTAGGGTAGAAACCCGACTGAACTGGTGTCAGTCGGAGATTCTAACGGTAGGGAGGAAAGGTAGGGAGGAAAGTGGATTTTTAGCGTGTTTATCTTTATAAACACGCCCAGTGACCGACAGTGACTCAATTCACATCTGCGAAGAGTCTCGCTATATAGCTATAATAGTCACTGTTTACCAACACACATCTCCTGCCCAGAGAGCTCAACTGAAATTAATTTTCAGGAGCCAATATATATATATATATATATATATATATATATATATATATATATATATATATATATATATATATATGTATGTATATATATATATCTGTCACCGAAGTTAAGCAATATCGAGACGAGTTATTACCTGGATAGAATACCAGTTGCTGTAAGCATGGATGTGCGGTAGGGAATGACTTCGAATTCAAGTCAGGGCTGTTATATTTACTTACGTACAAATGCTCTTTAGATAGGTATGAATACACTTCTTCTCACCCCAGCTATGGCTTAAATAGTAGGACGAGTATCAGTAAATCATTAATATTCCGCAATAATTCTTACAATCTGAAAATATTTTCAAGATTTGAATAATCTGCAGAAGGTCGATAAGCAGTTAGAAACAAATCAATCTCAACAGTTACTGGACTTGAGAAACCTCATTTATCTGAAAATTCTTTTAATAAAAATATTGTATAAATACCAGCCGAGAATTATATTGGCTACTCGGTCAATGAATGTCGAATGTTTCCAAAATTTTTCCAAATAAGCAAACGGTTAATATTGTCATTACCATTATTATATAAATAGATGTTGGCATGTCTTTTTGGATACGCATCTACATGCCCACATATGGGTTTATCCAAGAAAAGAACGCAAAAGCATCTTCGGAACTGTTCTTTCTTTCGGACAATTCCAACTATTTTGGTTGGAGTGATAGAAATGGTAGTGCGCTGATAAACTCACTTGGCAAGTGCCCTTGGCAAGTTCGCTTGTCTTTCCCTGGAGAGAACCGTGGGCGCCCACGTCTTGAACGTACCTAGCATCGAGAGATAGATAGATAGATAGATAGATAGATAGATAGATAGATAGATAGATAGATAGAGATAAATATAGGGATAGAGAGAAAGAAAGACAGAGAAAGAAAGATAGAGAGTTACCAACCTCTTTTCCTTACAACCACGATGTTAAAACATAAGTACTATTATAAAATTTATGATATCCTTGTCGAAAACGTCTTGTTCAGAGTTGTTCAAATTTTCGGGAGAAAACCGAACATTCGGCTGACATTTCGCTTTTTTCTATAAAAAGGAAAAACGTACGGACGAAAAAACGAACGAAAAGAAGAAAAACAAGTAAACTTGAAAGAAGAAGAAGAAGAAGAAGAAGAGGAGAGAAAAAAATGGATAGCGTCAAGAAAGTAAAGAAAAACAGAAAGAAAAGAAGAGAGTAAAAAAAGAAAGGAAGAAAAAGAAACAAAAAATCAAGAAAGTGGATAAAAAGCGAGAAAAGAGAATAAAGAACGAATAAATAAATAAAAACAAGCAAGCAAGAAAGAAAGAAAGAAAGAAAGAAAGAAAGGAATAGGGAAGGAAAAGCTAGTAAAAGAATTTAAAAAAAAGGACGGCGATGAGTTAGAAACAAAGAGAAAGAAGAGGCCAGGAAGAAGGAAAGAAAAAAGAAAGGATCAATTAGTGAATGACATCTAACAGAAAAAAACTTGTCTAAATATGAAAATAAGTGAAAAAAAGGAAAGAATCAGAATTGACTTTAAGCAAAAAGTTCGAAAGAATTCAACTTTGAAAGACAAGATTAGCTGAGTATAAAATCTTGGAGATTAAGGTGAGCCAATTTTTACAACGGAAGCAAATGAAGCTCTTAAGAGTAACAGATTCCGGTTCAAAAATGTCTTTGTTTTCTTTTCCGAAAAACCTATGCCGTCTAATCATTGAGGATCTTTACTGTCAGAGAAACTGTTTTCAGGGTATTCATTTGTAATACGCCACCAAGTTTTTGAGGACAGTTTTCACCCACTGAGTAATTGAAACTTCTACTTTATTACATGCCACTGCTAAGAAGAAATATCTACAGAATCAACCATTAGTTCAGATGCCAGAAAATTTCAGTTCTATAAATAAAAATAAAATAATAATAAATAATTTTTGTCTATATTTCTGAGATGAGGTATTATGTACATTATTTACATTATTCGGACTATTGTCCTCATCATTGTCGCCATATTTATTACAACGTTTCGGCCGTTGTACGCTCCGGCCTTCTTCAGGTGGTTGGAATGTCGAATTTAACCCTTTATTTTGCTCACTGGTGTAGACTCTTCTAGTTCCACTTGCCATGTGTCCTGGATGTCAAAGACACATGGCACAGGGGATAAAGGCGTTGGTTAGATCCGGTTATGTCAGTGGAGAACTTTCAGAGGGAAAATTAAAAGGAGATAACTGATAAATGACATCCATTACACATCGCACGTGGAACTAGAACAGTCTACCCCAGTCTACCCGGCCGAAACATTGTAATAAATATGGCGACAAAGACAAGGACAATAGCCTGAATAATGTAAATAATGTAAATAATTTTTGTTTTGTTTTTCTACGCATGTCATTAAAGCCACAATTATGTACATAAAAAATTCTTATTGATTGGTTTGTTTTCTACGGATTATCAACCCATTTCAGGTTATTTAAGGCCAGAAAATATTTTTATATTTTAAGAATATTTTCTGGCTTTGAATTAATCAGTGTTAGAGGTCTTACTAATTGACTCATGGTTGGGAGAGAAGAATTAGATTCCTAACTTTTTCCCAAGCGTATTTACGTTTATGTGAATATAAAGAACCAAAACGGGAATTGAAACCCGACTGTCCGATTAACAATTCTGATTATATCACCCGTACAATTAATCTTACTGCACCGGGTATTCCCAACCGGCCACCCATCTAGGAACTGACCATATTAAATATAGGCAATTCTGGATACGACCTCTTTCTTGGGGTTTAAGATTTGGCAAGCGGAAGGCATTCCACTTACATGATATAATGAATTCTTAGTTGCTAGAATCGGTAGATTGCAGAGGTTGAGGCGAAATATCCTAACTTAAATAATTCATCTGCTTAGTTTAATTTCCCAGAATCTATTCTTTTGTCCTGGCGTTTTTAATACTGATTGTATCAGAACATTTCTGCGTCGATTTTCATTTTTTAAAATCGATAGGAAACTAAAAAGATCTGCGATTGTCTGAGAGCACGAAAAACACTGAACGACTCCTGAAAATTATACAAAGGGAGAAAGTTTTAAAAATATCGATAAAGAGTTTTTAAACGACGTGCAATGAAGACAAGATTTAAATTCTTTGAGAACTTGTATCATTAACAATAATTATAGCCATCTTGTCAAAAAAATTAATTTCATTTTAACAGATTTCTTTCATCTCCAAAATTGGAAAATGTTTTTCGAAGAACTATATATATATATATATATATATATATATGAGTTTCAATTTGAGTTCTGAAATGATGTCATTTTAAAATTCCAATTTCCGTTCTCTCTCTCTTTAAATAAATGCCTAGTCGTATTAATTAATACAACTAGTTCATAAAATTATTAAGCGATTTTGCAACAAAACCTCACTAAATATTTTTAAAAGTATGCTTTATTGTGAACTTAGTAAAGACGTCTTCAAAAATGGAATATTTTTTGAGAAGATCGTCCACAATGTAATATATGTGAGCTCTGTGAAACATATGACCTACATAAGAGTATAGATATACTTTTGTGTATATATATATATATATATATATATATATATATATGAACTAGCAAGACTACTAGAAAATATCCGGATGTATTTCTGATTCTAAAATTTAAAAAGAAAACGTAAATGTATTTGAAACTAAAATATCATTTTAGATGCAAAAAATCAAAAAGGCATTTACATGACTGTTGCTTGTAAAACTTGGAAATAATTTCATTATTTTATCAAATCGAGTCGATATTTTTAGGAATATATATATATATATATATATATATATATATATATATATATATATATATATATATATATATATATATGATATGTTCGAATAATTTGCTTTCAATTTTATCGTTTGTAAATTCAATTTTTCAAATATCCATCGACAGGATATATTTGAAAGTACATATTTCAGATCAAATCACTCTAAATTTATGCTTTCTGCATCCACGTTCATACATGCACACAAATAGACAGCACACATGAGCTGTCATATACACACAAGAAGCACAATAATCATATTGATAAACAATCACAGATGCAGTCAGACAAGACACACCGCTACCCAACAACCACATACACTTCTTCTTATGTGCCATGTCCCTTCTGGAAGTGTGTGATCATGACTCTCCACAATGTCCTGTTCTTTGTAACTCTTAGTAAATTTTTGTGTGTCTTAATACTTTGCTTAACTTTTAGGAAGCATCTTCTTCTATCCCAATGTTTTGATTTCAACGTCACACCTTCCGTCCTTTGTTAAAATATTTAATTTATTGTAGTTACTTGATTTTGGTGTTTCCAATTTGTAATTTACATGTTGGTCTCTCCTTTTTGTTGGCAACCATCTAACCATGCATTCTGTTATACAATTTCTGTTTAGTTGTTTGATGAAACGTTTGCCTCCTAGATTCTTTGCTTAGACGCGTCTGTTAATTAAATCTCGTTTATTTTTGCTGATTTCCGACGATCAGATCCAACCATTTTTAAAGAATAAATCGCTGTTATATTTATTGCACATAGCCTTATTATATAATTTTAGTTTAGAATGTCAACTGTCCATGAGTACGATCAAAGCAATACAGTGACCACAGACCCATGGCAAGTCTTCCTAAGCATTAAATAATCTTTGCTTTGATTATTACAGGAGTAGATCACCCATTAGGGATCGAATTCCTCACACAACAGTTGAATGGCCTGGAAAACAACATCCGCACCCCCGTATGTGTATGTATGTATGTCTGTGTGCGTGTGCGTAAGGAAGAAAATCCTGCAAATATTTCGGCATTACTGGTCTTATCCAGAAAAGTTTATTTACTTTTCCAAACAGTTCCTCCCGCGTTACCGTGGGAAGAAAACAGATTAATTTAGTTTTGGCAAATTATGTTCAAGGTAAATATTTGCTGAGGAAAATAATTTGTTATCATTAGGCTGTGGAATTATTGATGTAAATACGTGACTCAAAACATCGAAATAAAAAAGCCGAATGTGTTTCCTTCCAACACATGGATTCAGAACGCGGAAAAACATTCCCTTTCGATTTTGTTTAAATGTTAGACTTTTATTTTCAGAATGGTGACGTTATAAACTTCTCTGTCTCTTTATTACTTAGAAGAGATTTATTCAGAGAATTTATTAACTTGTTTTCGCATGTGGAAAGGAAAAATAAGAAGTCTAATCTTTAAAATTATGGGTTTGAATGGGGTGATTTATTTAAACCGGCCTGCTTGGAAATAACATGTGCTGTAGGCTTGCATATGCGAATGGCTCGGAATTGTTAATCGGTGAGCCGAGTTCCAATTCCCGTTGATTTGGTTATATTCACTTACGTTCAAATATCCTTGGGAATGGTATGAATCTCCTCCAGCTATGGGTTAATTAGTAAGACTTTTATCACTAAATCATTATTATCTCAAATATATTTTAACAAACTAAAAATATTTTCCGGCTTTAAATAATATAGAAACTCTCGATAAGCTGTAGAAAGCGAATAAATTAATTAAAATGGCTTGTGTGGATATTCTTTGTATTATTAGTCAGCCAATACAAGATCAAAGAGTAAATCAAATGAGAGGGTTATTGAATGTTGTTATTTTATGATTATAAGATTTGTAGATTATAAGAACATATAGGATAGACAATGTATGATACTTGGCTTGGAGAGATTAAGATTGAAGTCGTCTCGGAGGTTTGTTCCACAAAGCAAAGTCTTCTGGGAAGAAGCTGTCTCAATGGAACTTCCTCCTTATCAATGGAATACGAAGGGAATGCATATGGTATGGCAGGACTAAATTATAAAGCTATCCAGTGGTGGCATTATGGCATGGAAATAACTATGGAGTAGCGAGAGGCGTCTGTGGAGAAAGGGGTTGTAGGATGGAAAATAATTCATCACCCACAAGGCTGCGTAAATAATTTTGAACTCAGCTGGGGATGGAAAGAGAGGATTGTGTAGCTCCTACCGAGATATGTCAGCAATATTCCATTTCTGGTTTGATCTGAAGTGCATATTTAATAGGATAGTGAATTTGTAAGATTATCTTAGATGTGGCACAAGGACAGAAGTATTGAGCACTTCAGTTGTACTTGATCTAGCTAGGCAATGTTGCCAAATATTATATCACGTCGAAGTGCTCAAATTATGATTTTTAAGCGTAGCTTAGATGTGGGACAGGGCCGAAAGTGTGTGGCACCTAGTGAGGATCACACTCACTATACAGTCTTAATTGACCTAGTGAGACAAGCTTACTAATCATTAAACCACGTTGAAGTGTTCAAAGGACGTATTTAGTCGAATGAACCAGAAATAAAGTTGCGAATGACATCCATGTAGAATTCAGGACGGAAATTGAATTTTTTCGGTACCTACGATAGAATTTCAAACGAAAGTGTTCTTAAAATTTGGTTTTCTTTTCTCTTGATAGTTGTCATTGATAACATTTCAGCCCAGACGACAATAAACTCTTTTGTCTTTGAGTATATTTGGACGGGATGTAATAGTTAGCAAGCCTATATCACCATATACATTACTATTGAGTTTGATCCTTACAATGTGCTCCATTCTTTCAGCCTTGTGCCACGTATAAACTTCACCTAGTAAATCACTAAAAACTCGTCTGATTCTTTTTCTGTCCAAGTAATTTCTATTCTGTTTAATCCAATACAAGCCTATTACCATCGAGTCACAACGCCTAAACAAGATTTTCGCTGTAATCCAAGAATATTTCCTTGCATATCAGCCCTAATATCTTCGCAAATAACAGATAACCATGTATATCATTTGGTATTCACGAAAGAACTGGTCATTTATGTTTAAAAATTGGAGTCGTTCAAGGATTCCCCGTCTATGAAATCGTGAAATGAAAGTTAGCCTGAACCGCCATTCTAGTTACTTTCGTGTTAATGTAGGTATCCTCCAGGACTCCATTCTTGGTCATATTTTGTTTTTGATTTCCATTAATGACCACCATGATGGAATCATCTCTCAACTTGCTATCTACGCCAATTAAACGACCATTTCTTCTTGTCTCGATAGTAAGTCTGATCAGTTTGATACGGCCAAAATGGCAGCTAATACCCAAAACGACTTACAGTCTGTTGTTAACAGGGGCAAAGGATGACTTTAAAGCCTCCAAAACTAAACTGCTTTCGATTAATTATCTGAGAGACCCCGCTCTGCCTTCCATCAGCACGGCAGATGCTGACCTTCACGTGAGTTGCTCATTGAGCCTTCTTGGGCTAACGTCTTCAGCTGACATGAAGTGAAAAACTATATTTAATCCATCGCTCGTTGATTTTAATGTGTCGTGCTAGACATTTTTTCTCTCCAGAATTTATCTTACATATCTATATGTCTACAATACATTCATACTTAGAATATTGCAGCCACATATGGTTCGGTGCTTCTGTTATTTGTCTAGAGCTCCTTGATAAAATCTAAAGAAGAATCAGCAATATTATTGGCCATGTTCTGGAATCTCGGTTTCAGTCACTTTTCCGCTGCCCTAACATTGCCCTCCCTTATGGTAGGTAAACGTTTAGAATTTAAGCGCGGTATTAAACTGGTGACGAAGTTTCAACAATTCACAGTTGATTTGATTACGTGTAATTGTGAATACTGGGCTAACATTTTCTTTTCACGCACTTGTAGATCTCCCTTCCTGCTTTATACTTTGCAGCCAACTTTAATCTTGAAAGTTTAAATACAATGCCAATCGCAATCTATTGTCCTACTGATCACTCTTCATTTCTTCTCGCTCCATTAGCTATGTTTCTGTTTCTAACTCTTCCACACCCAGTAACCACTTGTGTCTCAGTGGTTTTACCGACTTGCATTGAGTAAAACAGATTTTAAAAATAATAATTAAAAAACAGAGATAGTATTACACTAAGTTTAAAATCCTGCAATTACTTATTTGAATACTTTCACTGAAAGATCATAGTGGCTACGACACAGCAATTCATACCTGCTCTTGTCCACACACATCTCATTCATCGGAAAAATTCATCAATTTGTTCTATCGATGAGTCAATAATACCCTACAGACTTTCCTATCAGTCCACATGTCTCAACTCACCGACTATGGAAAGTAAGAATCGATTGAACTAATTCCTCGTGTTTTGGTGTTCCTCGTTGACTTTGGACAGCTACTAGCTTGAAGAGACCCCTCCCCCACCCCCCCAAAAAAAATTGGTGGATGCCTCGGCGCATGAAGCAATAGAGACATTTGTGGCAAACCGACATGAGAAAATATACGAGGCCCTCAACAAAAAGGAAATGCTGTAGTAGAAGCACGGAAACCTCCTCAAGGACAGATTCCCTGTCCCAAGTGTAGACGTCTTTATCGTTCTTGCATTGGTCTGCTTCGAGTTCAAGGCTTGTAGATATCATTGTCGAGTAGGGGTGATCACCAATACCTCTCCTAAATCCAACATGACCGTTAAATTAAATATAGTGATTTTCAAGGCATAGTTTAGATATAGCACAAGGTCGAAAGGGGCACCCAGTGAGGATCTTACTCACTACTCAGTCGTAATTGTTCTAGCGAGACAAGCATGTTAACCATTACACCCAGACCGTTAAATTATATATATATATATATATATATATATATATATGTGTGTGTGTGTGTGTGTGTGTGTGTGTGTGTGTGTGTGTGTGTGTGTATTAAGGTGTTCAAAAAGATTTTACGTTTTAACAAAAAATATAAAAAGGAATGTAAGTTTATTTAAATATTAGAATGATCGTAAACTAATTACTTTTTACAAAAAAGAAATCAATTTTGGTGATAAAATTGAAATTTTCAACGATTTCAGGCTTATAGGAGTGCAAATAATCGATTCGGCCTTTAAAACAATGTAGTTTTTTCCTCGAAAAATGTTTGTTTCAGAATGTTCTAGTAATCGAAACAAATAAAGTCTTCGAGGTGCCAAATATAAATGCTTCTTTCCCTTTCTAACCAGTTTTTCTCTTTGCTAAGTGGGCCGTTACCGTGGGAAGAAAACAGATTGATTTAGTTTAGACTTTTGCAATATGGCGAAAAAGACAAATTATGTTCAAGATAAATATTTGTGGAGGAAAATAATTTGTTATTATTAGGCTACGGAATTATTGATGTAAATACGTGACTCAAAACATCGAAATAAAAAGCCAAATGTATGTTTTCTAACACACGGATTTGGTTCTTTCAAATAGTGTGTTTAGTTCTGCACATGTTTTCACCACACACTATAATCAAATCATATGTGCGGGTAGACTGGCTGTTCTCTTCTAAGTATTGAGCTACTAGACACTTATACATCGAAAATGTCGCGAGAGACTATTACGAACACACACACACACACACACACACACACACACACACACACACACACACACACACACACAATGGTAAATGGTGCATTATGGATAGCAAAGTCTATTGTGTTATTCTAACCTTTATTAGTTAGTCGGTAACGTTTATGTTCCAAATTATCTTAGTGGCCCTTGAGTAGAAATAATTGTGGATCCGAATACGGAATTTGTACCTATTTTATAATATTGTTTGTTAAATTTTTAATCATTATTTAATACTGATTACTTAATCAGTTCTCGTTGATTATCATTATTATTATTAAATTTACTTGTGTTTATTGATGCGTTTATAGTCTGCTAATTTGTTTTTTATTATAGATTTTTGTTTATTTTATTTATTTTTTCTTGAGGGTGGATTATTGGTTTTGTCTAAAGTATGTTGCGTCGTCTGCTATGTATATAGCGTATATATTTGCAGTTACCATAGAGATATTATACAAGGTATTCACTTTTAGTCTTTAGGTTTTTAAGTAACGAAGTAAAAATTTGTTTTACAGTATTTGGATTTGTCGTTGTAGAGTGATGCTCTTTTGCTGTTTCCAGAGTCGTCGTATGTGTGTGTGTCTATTAGACATTATGTTTGTTGGTTTTTCACATGTATATTAGACACACACACACACACTTAGAAATATACATTATAATATTATCACTATATTTATCAGACACTTACATACATAAAGCATTTTTTGCGGTTTTTCTGTAAGGATTGGTAATTTTTAATTTTTTAGAACTTTGAAGGGACGTTTCGTCTCCTCTTAGATTCCCAACGACACAAATTATATTGACATTGGTTTGTTGAGTCAAGTGCACGTAAAACCTGTTTAGCCAATGATAATCATACAACAAACAAATAAAAATAGGATAATTTATTTTTTCTTTCCAAATTCCTATGTAATTCTCTAATGAAGCTTTAATTAAAGTGAAATATGTTAGATTGATAAATGATATCTGGGCACACTGAAGGCTATGGGTACCATGTAACATGCAGCTTAATCGTGTCATCGGCGAATAAACCGGTTCCCCCATCAGGCTTTTCTATAGAGGAGGACGGCAAGATATGCAGCAGGATTAAAAACAGTGTATCAAGGGGCAGATGAATCATTTCATAGAATCAACGGCCATCTAGAGCAGGTTCTACAATACCTGGGTTGGTGTCTGTGTCTGCGAGAAATACAATGGAATTGTTGGACCCCTCGGAGGGGCTTCGTTCAGGTAGCAGAAGAAAAGTCTAAGTAACACCAGCATCTTGACAGCAAGCAAGGGTGTTGACTAGTTGCTTTTTTGCGGGGGTCAGGATGTTCTTGTTTTTAGTGAGGGAATTACACAATGCAAAATATACATCTACATTATAAAACTCGTCACAGGCATTACTTGTAAATTATAACTGTCTTGCAATATCAAGCGAGATGACAGCTGACCCCCCACCATATATATATATATACATACACATACACACACACATATATATATATATATATATATATATATATATATATATATATATATATATATATATATATATATATATATATATATATATATATTATGCTCTACTTTTTATCGACCACTTTTTGAAAAAAAATAAATGCTAAAAGAATTGTGGATCTGACTGTCCACTTGATACATATATATTTATACACACACACACACACACACACACATATATATATATATATATATATAACATTCGCATACAATACTGTTTTGGTGTATCACAGCTGATCAGATGACCGAATGCCTCAAGTCCGGATCGAAACCCAACCGATTTGGTGTCAGTTAGAGTTTCTACCACTGAGACATCTTCACTTCACAGAGCCAGTCAGCCAAATCTAGCGTATTGTTTTTTACAAACGTAAAAAAATTCCAAAGAGCCATATTTATTTTACTGAAGAGCTTCGTATTTACGTAGGTGACCATTTATTTTACTGAAGAGCTTCGTATTTACGTAGGTGACCATTGTTTTTAGAATTATATGTACTTATCAGCGCAACAGAGTTTATATATAGAAAGAGAGAATTCTAAAGGCAAATACAACCATACATATTTTATTAAGTTCTTTCTGGACATATGAACAAACTATTGTACTGTTTATGTATAAACAAATGTTTCTTTCATTGCTCCCGAATGCCAATCTCTGCTTGGCTAAAATAAACAGATATATTTTCTATTTAAATAACACTGTAGGAGGGAATGAGTTGAAGAGTGACTAATAGTGAAGGAAGCTTTTTTTATAAATTTACAGAGATTTTTGCTTATATTTTAAGTCTCATTCCCAGAAAAAAAAGTCGGGTTCTTCATAAGTTTGCTAGTTTAAGGAGATGAACTTGTTGTTGGCAATGAACTATTCAATTATTAATTGGCGTGTAGTTCTGGGTAACATTTATCTCAAGAACTAGGAGATCATACGTGTGGTATGTATGGTCCTTCATGGCTTTCCTAGGTTGAGATAATTTATACGATCGTGTAATAAGAATCCTAACAGAGGATAGAAAGTGAGACACGGACAGACATATTGGCATACATTGCAAAAGCTGAAAAGAATATTAAGAGACAGAGAAATTTCATTAGAAACAAAGAAAATAGTACTTGACTCTTACATAATATCTGTCCTTCTGAATGGAAGCAGTTGCGTCTGTCTTCGAACAAAGTGCGACTCAATTGCGACTCCATCGGAGGACAAAGGCAGAACTGAGAAAAATCATACCGTGAGGTGTCCAGCCCTAGGGAAGTGATGCCCAAGGCTGCACCCTCTCATTGCACTAGAGAGAGGGATCGGTGATCGTACCGAGGTCAGCGCAACCGACGGTTGTCTGGGTTCAGGGAATTTTTATCCTGAGCCCTAGTGTACGCGTTCGGTTTCCCCACGTCACAACCTCATTCTGTGGGGAGGGGATCAATTAATCCCCTTCTGAATGGCAGCGAATGCTGTACAATCTCCTCAGAGATGAAGAAGTGACTTGAAGCAAGAGAAATGTGGTTCTACAGAAAGATGCTGAGGATACCATGAACCGAACAGGTGTGCAATAATAACATCAGAAAGAGGCAATTGAAATTTCTTGGGCAGGTAATGAAAAAGGAGGGCTTGGAGAACTTGATACACACGGGAAATATTGAGGGAAAGAGGTTCAGCGGAAAGCAGCGCGTATGATACTTGATGAGCTTGAGTAAATGAATGGTAGGACAGGGGTTTGGAAGAAATAGCAAAAAGAGAAATCTTATTAATAGTTAGGACAGGGAGGGCAGTGATTACCTACGACCTGAACGGACACGGCACATAAAAGAAGAAGAATCTCGATTATCAAATGCCAAAGAATACTGACTTACATTCGATAAAAAGTTTAGAAAATGATCAGCGTATCATAGGCAATTCATTGCTGCCCAAGAGTCCATTTTTCATAATAACCGGTTACTATTATGGGCTGGTCCTGTTTATTATTTCTTCTTCCTCGCAACATATTAATATTTGAGACGACTAGATTTGGACATTAAGAGAACTCAGATTTCAAAAACCGTTTGCGTATGCGGTTAGCATCTTCATCCTGCAAACGCGCAAGTGCTACTGAAACCAGAGTAGCAACACCCGAGGCTGTTGCCTTTTACTGATCATGGAGTCTACAAGTTTGACACACACCTATAATTCTTATCAAAAACTGTGTGTTATGTAAAAAAAATAAACCCAAAAAACAAGACCCGTCTCTATAGCCATGAAACATAACTCATTGTTTCCTTTCTGATTCATTCTTATTCAGTCTTCATATAATTGTTACCTAATCCAATTCTATCTTGACTAAACTAATCAAATATAAAAACATATACCTTCATCTTATGTCTTCTACTTATCCCCACTAAAAGAGGTGATGGCTAACTTGATTTCTTGCTGATGTTTTTCTTACAAGGTGATTCTTGAACAGGGTAAGGTAGGAATCTTATGAGCAACTCTCCTTTTTTATCCTAAAGATTAGAGAAATAAAAAGCATTTTTAAAAGCGAATATATTTCTGTAATATTCTTAGATCTGTGCGTAAGTAAGTTTGACCT